GTTTCTGGATCAGGAGGCAGCGACTGGACGTCCTGATTCGGGGTCTCGTATAAGTGACGATCTAATAACCAACCGCATCCCCAAACCCGGTGTTATCTCTGAAATAACCCCGAGTCCTCTTTTTCTGCTATAAGAGGCAGAAGTCCTGAGTTTCAAAGTGGGAACACACACATTTTTAAAGCACTAAACCAAACATTCACTTAACCTTCGCCGATGCAAACAGCGTGGTGCATCCGAACAAACATGATATCATCTTCCTGCTGCAGCGCGGCGGTGTCGGCGGCGCGAGTGCGCCTCTCGCAGATGTCTACATTACCGCTTTAGCTCACTTTACATGTACAGGGTTTGTTGTAATACTAGAATTATGTTGGATGGTGTGACCTTTGCATATTCAGGAAATGGGGAAGCATCACACTGGAAAAGCTTTGAATACATTACAGCTCCGGTGTCTTCAGGAGAATATTAAAGCGCTGGATCCAAACCTGGGGGTGGGTCACAGAACAACGCAGAAAAAAAAAAAGATAACAGAGCTTCTCAAGGCTTCTGCCAAGTTTAAAGATAAAATGCATACAGTAAAATACAACCGCTGCTTGTTTTTAAGAAGCTCCGAAGCCAAAGAGGTTGCGAACTACTGGACTGGCTGCAGATAAATTCAAATATGTGTGTGTTTGACATGTAAATTCACTCTCTTCTTTAAAGAACAAAGGAGCTAAAGTACAGCACAAGAGCACAAAGTCCTGTCTCTTTCTCCATATTCTCGCTTTCTGTCTATGCTCCTTCTCCCTTTCTTCCAGTTCCTCTCTAGTTATGACCCTGTAGCCGGCGTGTGTCAGGATCTCCAGAGTTGTCAGTTCCAGTTACTGCTGAGCAAGCTTAATGAGAGCAGAAAGAGGGAGGGCATGAAGGGAGGGAGACGGGACGAGCAGGAAGAAGGCGAGATGAAGCACGAGCGGCGAGAGGAGAAGGGCTTGTAATGGGAAGGGGAGAAAATAAAGAATCCAGACTAATAATGGAAAGTCAGAGGAGACATATTCGTCCACTTTGCGCTTCACTCGACTCTCCACGCCGAATAAAAGCAAATAACAGACAGACGGAGGGCGCTCGCTTTAACCCACATTAGCCTCCTTTGATCTCTGATCTCACACTGACACTTGAACAAAACAAAACAAAACAAAAAAAATCACGCCAACATGCAAAAGCACATCCATGCACGACGCACGTCTGCGAAGGAAGAAGAACATCGAGGCGCGCCGAGCGTGGCGGCCCTTATTATCTGCAGCAGACCGAGCTCGTTAACCCTGGCTGGTAAAGAGACAACAGAGCGGAGAAAACACGAGGAGGGAGGCGAAAAAGATAATAGAAGAGGAGAAGACAAATGAGACAGTGAAAGGGAGAAGAGTTGGCGAAAATGAGGCTGCGTCTTGTTGCTGTTTTCTCATCTGCTAACTGTCATTCTGACGGAGGAAAATCAAACAGCCCACTTTGCTCCTGCAGAGCCGAACCACCGGCGGCGGCAGCAGCTCATTCCTGGCGCTGCCACTGTAGCTCATTATCTTCGGCGCGCACGGCTTCCCGTCCGCACACACCTGCTCAGACGCACGCTGACCAATCGACTGCTTGACACAGGTGTCTCGCGGTTCATCGGTTCATCAATCGAATACCGAACAGGTTCATTAACAGAGCAACTGTACACATTGACGGCTGGGACTAGAGAGCGCCGCATCGCTCTGAGCAACTTTAAGCTCGAGGCAACTTTCAGCGGCTTTAACTCGTATTTCACAGCGTGTAAAACAGCAGTTTGAAAGGATTCGCTCATGGAGATGAACCTACAGAACATCATCAACCAAATCTGTGGCTTTGCTCGGATTTATGGCGATTTGGAGCGAGTTTCAGCTCATTCTGTAGCAGTCCGCTCTGTACATTCACAGTTTTGGTTCTCTGTCAACACGCCAGTGACCCAGTTCTGGCAGCAGAAAAAAATAAAAATAGAAAATGCTCTACAGACCCACTGAACGCTACCTGCTCAGCACCAACCAGCTGCAGGGTTAGCATCTCACTGGTGGACATAGTGGGATATTTAGGAGATGGTGGAGACCAAAAACAGAGCTAAAAGACCATATGAATGATAAAGTTGCTCTTATTGTAGATATAAGGAGCTGTTTGTCACATCAGATTAACAGGTGTTGGTATGTTGATTCTGTGTTCTAAACCTTTTATTCTGCTGCCTTCAAGCGGCTCAGAAAACTCCCTCAAACAAACAAAGACCCTCTGAATCCCCACATTCAGTCGCATGTGTGAAAGGCATGGCATCTGTGCAAAACTGTTGGATTTTCAGCTTTTCCACGGTACTTGAACTGCTCGTCTGTGACGTGCTGCTCTGTCAGAAAACCAAGCTGAAAATCAAGATATTTAATTAAAACCATTTTACCGTCTGTTTTTGTTTTAAGTGATGAAATAAATGCATCTAGATTCTGTAAAAATCTGCACTGCTTGGTGCAAAAAACAGTTTGATGGCTTCATTCTTCTTTTTTGTTTTTAGTGTCTTAATTTGGCTCCTTTTTTAAATTTGGCCTGTGTTTACGTAGCGAGTTTCTTTCGCTGCTTCCTTCAGTGTGAGCTACATGAACACTTTATGAAGTTTAGGCACGAAAGCTACTTGACAAGGTTTAAGAAAAAGATGGTTTTGGGTAGTTCAGATGTTTTTAAGTTGTTGTTTCCTGTCATTTCCAGTCACTGTTGGTGAGTTTATAGCACCATAAAGCACGATAAATACTTGGTGAAGCCTCAGAAAAGATCCTGGTTTGGGATAAAGTCCATCTAAGCTTACACCGAACACAAAGCTCTGCTTGCTTGTTATGTTTTCCCTAAAAAATGCAGGACTGTCACAATGTTCAAGGCTGTTTTGTGTCAGTGAAACACTGTGGACCGATGCAGGAGATCAGACTGTAGGTTTATCTGGAACATGCATGAAAAGGAAGGTGTACGAATCCAGTTTAGGGTTGACGAACCTCTGCCATCCCCATCTGAGAACTTCTGAACCCTGACACAACTCAACAACAACACACCGGTGAAAGCGACTGTGGTGCTTCTCTTTCTCACAGGTGACCTTTAAAGTGCGAGTAGAGATCGTATTACCTTGACAACAGCTAAGTTTCATTTTCACCAAGTTATCGATGGAATTTAGGCAATTAAAAACGAGCTGAACTCCTGCTGCGTGAGTCGAAGCAATAAAAGATTTGTTGTGGGCGTGTTGTCGACCTCTAACCCACACCTACACCCCGAACACTTTGGGATTTATCTTGAGACAATAAGTTTCCGTCCACAGGAGAGAACCTCGCTGAGCTCATTCCTCAGATGTTGTGATCTGAAAGAATTTTATCGTAACAAACGTCCATGAACCCTGCAGCTAATCTGTTCAACCCAGTCCTGTACAACACCAGCCTTTAGCAACCATCCTTCAACCAGATCTCCTGATTACACATATTTTCATTCAGCTTCGGCGCCCTTGAACAAAACACTCTGCATTTGATCCTGTTGTCTGACCTCCGCACATGAATCGATGGAGAATCACGTTACCTTTAAACCGTGTTGTGGAGGAACGCGTGCTGTCAAAACAGAAGGACGAGAATCCGCTCTGATTACATGAAAACACACAATCAATCCGGCTTTCGTCTCCGCAGAAGTTCCTGCAATTTATTACTCTTGGCTGGAAATAGGTGTGTTTATGTGGAGCGGAGTGTGTTTGAGGAGGTTTGTTAATTAAAGTCGTCGTGTGAGAGGGTTTGGAGGAAAAAAGCCGCTTTCTGTCAAAGATCTGGAGTTCTGCTTCGGCTTTTAGGCAAACACACACGGAAATACACACACATTCAGGCGCTGCGTCGCAACGTGACCGGCTTCTCCACAATGCAGCGGCGTAACAATGAGAGCGTGGCAATGGGATATATTTGGTACGAAGGAGAGACCGAGAGACGAGGAGACAGGAGAAGAAAAGAGGGGATAAAAGTGCAAAACAGGAAGAAAGAGCAGCAGAGCAGAGTGGCTGAAAAACAGGCAGAAAGAGTGCAAAGGAGCCGATAAGACGGAGTTAAAAAGAGCAGAAGGTGGAACAATAAGCAGCCGGTCAGGGCGAACACTTACGGAGGCAGGTGTTGTCTGTGAAAAACTCGGTGAACTTGTCACACTCGTCCTTGTTGTTGCCGCTGTTGCTGCAGTCGCAGTAGGGGGACACGCTGATTTTGGGCGAGCGCAGGTAGTTGGGAGTCATCACCGTACCTGCAGCAGGTGGAGGGAATTAGGCTCTCATTAGTTTCTGATTTAGCCAGAAATGCGATCCATAAACAAGGCTTCATTGTGAATTGTTGAACCCCCGAATGTGCTGCGGCTGTCAAAAAAACAGGAACCCTTTCAGAGTCCTCTTCCTGCGCTGAATGATAAATGTGTAATAATACATTAAATCATTGTTGCGTTTATTTCCAGTCCTCTTTATTTCTGTGCAGAGGAGGAACGCAGTGTGGTGGATTTTCTGCAGGAAGCAGAATGCAGAGAAGCCGGAGTGAAGAATAGGCTTTCTCTCTGCGAGGGAAAGTAAATAGCTTCAGTCAGTGATTTCTCACTCCCCCAATGGATTGTTCCCTCGCGCTGGCCGCCGTCCAAGGCAGGCCTTTTTGTTTTGCAGTAGGCAGAATGAATTGGCGCTGTGTGGACGGTGTGTGTATGTGTGGTCTGCTCCGGTGAGCTGCCAGGTGGAACTTGTGACGGCTCGCCGTTGTGGCGAACGTAAAGATCTGAGAGGACAGTGAAGAACCATAAATACCAGTTTGCTCTTTGTGCCAAACTGTTACTCATGTTTGTCAAACAGCTCAACCCCCTGAACCCCAAAACCTGCCGGCGCGTTGGAAAGGCGTGTTACCTCAACGGTCAGAATGGCACCATTTATCAGAAACTGTAAAAAGAGATGGAATCATTGAGTTCTGAACTTTCCGATGGTCCTTGAACTGCACATCTGTGACGTCTTCACGTTGTGGTACTTCTTCAAAATTACTTTATTCTGCATGTTTCATTTAAAAAAAAAAACCCACAAATGAACTATTTGCACAAACCAGATTCTGTTAAAAGCAAACATCCTGTGCTCCTCAGCAGAACCCTGATCCATTAGTGACTCTGAGGAACCAACAGTCACATGACAAACATTCAGAGACTTTTCTGTTGCACTGCAGGCTGTGTTCACACAGAGCAGATAAGATTCTTTGCTTTTTTTTTTTGCCTTTTTCATGATTTTTTGGCATTCTGACTGTGCCATACTGCACTAAAGACATTTCTGAGTTCTCTCTCCCTCTAGCCATGGTTGTTCTGTTTCCTCAGAGGTGCAGGACTTCATATTGCAGGAAAAAAAAAGAGGCTACAGTGAGTAAAAATGTGAGTGGAGCAAAAAAAAAAACCCACCCAGAAGTGCTTGAGGGCTCAGAGAGAGTAGAAACATGAGCAGCCAGAAGCTCAAATCTCCAGTTTAGTCAAACTTATTGGAAGGGAAAACAAAGCCAAATGTTGTGTTTTGCAACCGACATCGACTTTATGTTTCCAGATTCCAGCACTTACTTTGGTTTAGTGCCAGCTTATTATAAGAAAAGCAGCAAAACAACCAGAATAGGCTTAAAGATGTCATTAACAACCATCCACAGCGACCTGAAGCGAACGTCAGGACGGAGCAGAACAATAACAGTCAGAGCACAAGTGAACTCACCGATCAGACCCGAGTACGAGAGCAGACAGTCGGCGTAGTTTTCCTTCAGACAGCCCGACAGCGAGCGAGGCTCCGGCTGGCAGTTGACAAAGAAGTCAGCGAGTCGTGACCTGAAACACACACAGATCCAAAACTATTTCAGTGGCTCCAGTAGATATCGTATGAGAAATTCAGATGGCCAGTGTGACTGTAATCGTGCGTGGTCCAAATTAGCGTACGGAGGGAAGTCATTTCTCTCAATTCAATTAGACTTCTTAATGGCTGCCTTCGGTGGAGGAAGACGGCCCGCAGACGTACGCAGCGGCTGCTTTATATCCTGGAAGGAACGAGGCTGAAGGCAATTCTGGGCCGAGGCCGCTCCGATTCATCTGCTGCGTTCGCCAACGTTTGTTTACACTTTTGTCACAGGTGCAGCGGCATGTGAAATTGAAATGGAGTTTTGGATTCCCAAGAAATTCACCATCTGAAGTGAGATTAGGTGTGATATAGCGCCGCTCTGACCCGGAGCAACACAGCTCAATGTCACACGTGGACTTCTAAGGTTCCTGGTGTTGCTTGATGTTCTGGTTTTTATTCCTTTAAGCAATGTGAACATTTTAGTGTGAACACAAGAAGCCAGCAAGACCTGAGGTGTGAACAAACCTGGTTAAGCCGTGATATCGCTTGTTTTTGGCAGAAAAACTAAAATTTTAAGGATTTTAGGTGAAACTTCCTGTTCCACAGTAAAACTCTGAGCAGATACAGCAGCAGTGAAGACAACCTGCCAAAACCGTCGGTCATTTAGACCATCTATCAGAGCCAGAGACTGCAGTTTGTCTGATAATTAACCAAATCTAAGCTCAAATTGGCCACATGTCATTGAAATCACTTTATTCTATATGGCTAATGTTTGTTTTAGAAATTGCAAATAATGAAAGCTTAGACGTGACCAGTGACTGACGTGTCCAAACCATCTTGTTGCTTAAACCTTTGGGCTGAACTGCAGGCAGTGTTCACACAGAGCAGATGAAACAAAAGTGCATTCGGTGGTTTTCGTGCCAGTTCTGATTGGCTGTAATGTGCAAATGGTTTTATTCATCTGAAGTCCATCTGATGACTTTCGTGAGGCTTCATCTGAAGCTCATTGGAGCCAATTCTGGTAAAGATGAGAGCAAATATGTGGCCTGTAGAACTTCTATTAACATCCAATATGGCGGTCGTATCAATTAGTTGGACATGAAGTTGACTCATCTCAGTCTTAGAACCTCCAAACGGCTTCAAATGGTCAAATGTTCTGTTTTTTGGCGCTCTCTTAAAACGGGGTCACAGGTTTGGTTTTGATCTAAGCCCTGCAGACATGTGACCTCATCTGCTGTTTGGCTGCTTCACCGCTGGTTTCAAAAATCCCAAACTCCATCTGATAACTTTGGTTGGTCTGCTGATCACCTCCGTGAATAGACGTCGTTGCTTTGAACTCTGCTTGATCTGCAGAATCCATCGTGCCTCCAACTCTGAGCAGCTTCGTGGCTGGAAAGCGTTTGAGGCGCCGACATGAATCTTGGCGATAAGAATCTGGGAGCTGTTGCCAATCAGTGTGCCAAATTTCAAAAGTTTTTATCGTGAGGTTCTCGGGGCAGAAGATGAAGAAGAAGAAGACAGAAAGACGATATTTGGCTTCACATCTTGGCTTTTGAATTTGCTTCATAATAATACCACTAATAATAATAATAATAATGCATTTGCAATAACATGTTAAATAAAAGGAACATTTCAGTTTCAGCAGTAATAAGTAAAGCTTCAACCTGCAGTACTACTTATAAATTCATATTTACATTGAATATTTCTTATCAAAACACAGTGCGTGTGTGTACTGAGGCTTAACAAACCAGTCAAATGTGTTTCTCTGATTGAAATAAATGAAAATCCTTCGTTGTTTACACCTGCCGCGCTGAGGAAAGAAATACATGCACCACAACACGCACGTTCTCGTATATGCACTCCCAGTGTGATCCGTCTAATCACACCAATCTGGTGCAGAGCAGAGAAGTGCGTAGTGAGAGTTGTCAACAGCAGCCCGTACGCTACACCTGACATATGGTGAGGGAGCTGCTGGAAATGCATGGCTTTAATCTATCTGTGCTAACTGACAAATGGACTGGGAGGAGGCGGCGCTGCACTGAGACCTGTTGTTCAGCCCCGAGCGTATGTCTGACGGATAGAGAGCGCCGCCGAGACAAGACGAGGAAAAGAAAAAGAAGGTGGAGACGGCGGACGGGAACTTGCAGGACGACTTTACAGCACCGTCATGCTGCTTGCTGTTAAGTAGAGGCAGGGCTTGAGGTGGGGGGGCGAGACCCGGGGCCACGGTCCAAATGGAGCTCATTGATGATGCCTAATGCTCCCATTTAATCCCAGAGAGCCACAAGACGGCTGGCTGTCGCCTCTGGAGGCTAACTCATGCACACGCTGGTGTCAGATGTCCGTCAGTGAGCTGATCTTTACCGACTCTAAACGCTCTTAATGCAGGAGTCCGACGGCGGCACCGGCTGAGTGGGTGAGATCCAGAGATGTGAAGGCAGATCGTTTGTTTCTGCTGCTGATTACACAGACTATGTAACGTAAAGACGTGTCTATGGGGCTTGTTTGTGATGTTTGGAGCTAAAAAGCTTGTCCACGAAGTAAAGGATGTTAAATTTAAAGGTCTTGGGTTCAGCTTGAATCTGCGGTCGAGCCTCTTTCAGACCTGCACTCCCTCCATCAGTCTGACGGCATCTAAATGTGTCTCTTCTCTGTAAAAGTTAAATAATCAGAGAAACTTTTCTGCTCGACCGTATGGAAATAAATTTAAAAAGTAAGTAGTAAAACAGTAAAGCAGGATCCATTCCTCCTGGAATAATGTGACTCCAGGTTGTTTCAGTGTTTGCAAAAAACATGATCAAAGAAATGCAATTTTCTTTCTTTTCATTTTTAATGATTTAAGGCATCTTTACTGTGTCATCCTGCACACAAGACATTCCTGAGTTCTCTCTGCTGCTAGTCCTGGTTGTTCTCTTCCACAGAGGTGCAGGACTTCATGCTGGAGTGAAAAATGAGCCCACAGCGAGGAAAAATGTGACAGGAGCACAAACTGCTCAGAGTTCAGGGTTAAAGCGGTTAATTCATTACAAAAGGACCAAGCAGGCCTGTCTTCATCAGTGTTTGATGCATGTCTTTGCAAAACTTTTAATATCCAGCCAACAGGTTGCTGCTTTTTAGTTTACTTTCTGAACAAAGTCACTTTGAATGCTGCCTGAAATCCTGAACACGCTCCTGTTTAGAGGCTTTCTGTAGTGTTTTCGTTATAATAGTTGCTGGTTTCTTGCTCGTAGTTTGTATGAGATTCTTTGAAGAACTATAGCAACTGCTTATGTCCTCCTACTTAGTTATCTTAGGGTTTTGTTTTGTTTTTTAAATAAGAAACAGCTCCAGTAATGAGAGAAATGCAGCTGCCATCTGGAGTTGTCTGGTGACGTGGATGCTGACGAGCTGTAAACTAGGAAAGCGCTGGTCTGAATGTGATCCAGCAGAACGGTGGAGCTTCCTATCATGTCATGTGTTTTGACGTGCATCTCAATCACAGACCAGGAACCTTTGTTGGATGTCATTCAAGTTGCCTGATTTCCTGTCATCTTTCCACGATTGAAACACAGTACGTGATCTCCCACCTGCAGATGTAGTTGGTCTTGCAGGAGGCCTGCAGCTCCAGACAGTTGGGTTTCTGCTTTTCTTCGTACGAGCAGACGGGGACGATGGTCTGGCGGCGGCGTTCGGAGCACGCCGTCTGGTCGCTGAGCGGGCACGAGCAGAACAGCATGCCGTAGCTGTGCTTTGGAGGAACCTGCGCAGCACAAAAAAGTCAGAACACGACATTAACTTTAAACAGAGTCAGCTTCACCATCTCCGTTTTCAGTCCTATTTTGACATCGTGACGCATTTTCTGGCCTTTTAGACACATGCGTCAAGTGTCTCTGAGGTAGCTGTTAGCTCATTTATCATAGTGGCTACTGCTGCTAACGCTAACTACCCTTCTCCTGTATTACTTCTAACAACCCAGTCTTGCTGCAGCTCATTCACGGTGAGCACTGAGGAAGTCAAAGCTCTATCGCATCCAAACATTTACCGCAAATTTGGACATTTTCATGAAAAATTAGGAAGAATTTGATGCTAAAATAGCAAAAAAATAAATATAAATGTTTCTCTCGGCTATTTAATTCTGCTTGAATGCAATAATATCATCAATAAATTCAGATTTCAAAGCTGAATGACAACGTGGACGGTAGCGGAGCCGTCGCTAATGCCAGTCAGGCGACAACAGAAGAACGTAATCATGGTTTTATGTCCGACACAAAGAAAACTCGAAGCTTAAGGCTGTTCGCGCTCACAATTCTCTGTTGTGCAAAAAAGAAAATTATAAGTCGCAGTCAGATTAACAATGACATGTATTCTTTGTGGTTTTCTATTTGTTCATATTGTTGCTTGGTTGAAGCCGTGCGAGTAAAGTTATTCCAGCGAGACATCATGGGAGCTGGCTTGTAATTACAACGCTTCACATCATTTTTTTTACAATACGGAACAGACAGCGAAAAACATCTTTTGTGTTTGATGACTGAATCAATGTCAGAGCTTGGCGCTGGAAAAGCAAACCCTGAACAAAAAGGCCCACATGATTATTTATTGTGATTTTTGACAACCCCTCTAACTTATCCACTTCAAAATCATTCTTCCTTTTGAAGCAGGTCCTTTGTGGTGGACATTCAGCTTTTATCAGATATCAGTCGTTTGGAAAACCTCCAGCGTGGGAGCGCTGCAGTGCTGCTTTCTCTCGTTGTTTTTTTTTTGATAAGCTCGTGTCAGAAGTGCCTTGCCTTGTCAAAGAACTGCCGCAGGGCCTTGTGGCATTTCCTCTTGTTGCAGACTTCAGCGGTGGAGACTCGGCTGGTGCACGGGCTGATGTAGGCCGAGCGGTACTTCTTGCACGTGTCGTTCAGGTTGCAGGCCTTGGCGGCGTTCAGGCAGTTGTTCTCTCTGGCCACCGCAGGCTCACCTACAGATGCAGAGGAAGGAGGAGGAGGACGGTGGAGAAGAGGGAGGAAAAAAAAAAAGAGATGAAAGGTGACAATCATGCAGATGTCATCAGGATTGTGATGATGACCTGTTTGGTGTTTCATCAGAAAGAGAATGAAAGCGAACCCTAGATTACCTCACAAAGTGGCCACGTCTCTGCACAATTTGGATTTCATAACAAAGGAAATAAGAACGTTCTGCAGCAAAAACAGCCATTACAGTCCAATACGGCGTTCGACAAAAGCAGAATTTACAAAAACGCTGCGTCTTGTGATGCTCGAGGCCTGGTGTGATGGCGCCTTTCTCCAGGTCGTGATTCTTTTTCAAGAGACAACAACCATTTCATCAGAGCTCTGAGATATTACAAAACACAAAACCTCTGTCCACACTAACAGCCAGACTCGCTGCAGCTCATTATCGACCTCGGAAACAGCTGATTAACATCACGAAGTCAAACGCTCAGCCACATCTCCTGGCCCTCCTCAGCAGGAGGAGATCGCTCGGTTTCCACAGAGATGAAGGAAACTGGACTGTCCGGTTGCTTGTGAAGGTGTCACATCTCAAATCAACGAGTTTACGATTTTATTTCATTGCTCATTTTCAGCCAACCGATCAAACATTAGGTGGGACAGGACTCATCACCCTGGAGACCCAGAAACTGAAGGAGAAGCTTCAAACATGCGATGAAAGACGTGATATTTTCATAAAGCTAAACCTCTGAACCCTGGTTTCCTGGACAGAGGTCCTGACTCTAGTCCTGCCTGGACATGCAGACTCCGTGGCCTCCAACATCACAGGAGGGAAGATATGTTCAACTTAAAGCTTGGTTTCTTTTACATGTAGTTTAACTGGAAGATAATTTTGAGGAGACGAGGTTGTAGAGATGTGGCTGAACGCTTCAGAAAAACCAAGAAAGTAGAGTTTGTGAGCACAAAACAGCAAGATCCTCGAACTGAACCACCAAATATGAATGGAAACCGATATCCAGGCCAGTGACAAACCAACAGACCGATAGAAGGGTCCAGACATGGCACCACTTCTCCAACTCTTTGCAGGAATCGTTCCATGCAGGCACGCTAACCCAGACTTGCAGCTAACCCTTCGTAAAGAAACGTACTACTGTCTTGTGCTTATGTAAAAACAACAGATCTCCTTTTATGCTGAAACATCCGGTATCAGTGGGGATCTACACAGCAGCTACAGATCATGAGACTTATTCAGCTCTCCAGGCTGCACAACCGGAATAAAGAGACGTAGAACGCAGTGTGATCACGTTCTCCTAAAACTAGCAACACCTTTCTTCTGTGTGTCAGCTGATGTTAATGCTGGTTTTTATGTCTTTCCTGCATGTGTGCGTATGTTTGTGCCGATGCAACACAGGAACTGCTTAGCTTGTTCCAGGCAGCGACTCTCGTGCTAACCTGCCTCGTTCTTCTGTGTGTGGAGCGCTTTGCTTGTTTGTCAACCTGCACTAATTGCCAGCGTTGTCCTCGATGCGCCGCTAATTAACATTTTCCTCGACTTTTTCCCCCGTTCTTGATTTTTTTTTTTGGTAAAAATGGAGCAAAAAAAAAAAAAAAGAAAGAAGCATTTTCTTTTCTATCTAATGAGCATCAATTAAAACGGGCGAAGCTCCACGTGACAAACATGCAGGACCAGCGGGGGAGGCGGGCGGGCGGCGCGTGATTACGGCGGGAGCTCCAACAAACCGAGCGGCTGCCGGCGCCGTGTTGTGCCGACGCAAACTGTGTTAATGAGATTCAACACGTGGAGGCGAGGGAGGAGAGGGAGGCAGATTAAAAGGGACACGGAGGCACGGAGGGGGGCTGGACTTGATGGTCCGGTGATAAATTAATTGGCGACAGGGTGGATGCTGTTCGCTCTACGAGGGAGGAGGAGATCTTTAAGATGAATGCTTTCCTAAACTTCCGGCAGCCTCTGAGGAAAGCCGGCGCCGACTCACTCGCTGCCAACTCGTCCCGTCGCCTCCTCGGCTTCACTCCGTTTTGCTGTTTACCTTCCAAATGCCCCTCTTCCCTTTACTTGCCCCCTCTCTGGTCTCTGTTCGTCCCGCCTCCTTTGGTCCACATCTACCTTCGTCAGCCCCATTTGGCGCTAAAACGCCTGCAGTCATTCAAAAGTGAAATCTTAACTCTGCTGCTGCACAGTATTTACACACACAAAGAAGAAAACAGCATATTTAATATTGTTTTTTTCTTATTTTAATGTTTCTAAATGGTTCACATTCAAACCAAGATGACACATTTCAGGTAACATTCACTTATTCAGGTGTCTTTTCTGTTCTTTAGCATAAAACGGACAAACTTTGAGTCGAACAATTCCTTTAAAATGTTTGCAGCATCACAGGTGGAGGCAGAGGAATCATGTTTACAGCATGTCCTCATCTTACTTTTGATATCCTCGGTCTGAATTTGATTGTACATCACTACATTTACGCAGCTGTTATTATGGCATTTAGTAGCAGGGAAGAATAAACACACTGCAGCTTATCTGGTGTGTGTGTGCGCTTGTTTTTAGCAGTTTAAGACACAAAAGCATTGTTCTTCTTGAAAGTTTAGTTGGAAGATTAGAGACTGCATGTCTAATTAAGCCTTTTGTTGAAGCGCCTGCATATTAATTTACAGATTTTGCACCGCGCTTCATTCTAAATATAAGTGGCCATTTCAGCATGAAAAGTTAAGCCACTTACGTCGCTGTAATTTCAGCATTAGCCTTCTGTAATGACAGCTGTGTGGCGGCATTAAGGAAGTTTAGTGAAGGCATGTTTGTTTTGGGGCGTGTTCAAACGTACACATGCAACAAATCTTCCTCTTCTGTGTGAAAACGATCAAACACGTGACCTGCATACGTTGGTTATTTTGTGTGTGTGTGTTGCAGTTGTGGAGATGTGTGTTTCCGTGTGTTCCTCTTTGACACTTTTAGCACTTTTCTCCTCGTTTGAAAGGACTTAATTAGCAGAGCAGCTACAGGGTGCGGGGTGGAGGAGGCGTCACACCGGAGGATACACAAACTGGTGGGTTGGATTTCTGTGCAAGATTTTACAACAAAAAAAAAAAAGTTAAAACAAAGCCTGTCTTTAAAAGCACAACTTACTGAGGCGGTAAAAACGTCAAACCTGAAAGAGGTGAAATTTACGAAAGGAAGAAAGAAAGTCAATCGTCGAGCGAATGTCGAGTTTTAAAGATGGTTTGAGGTTGAAGCCAGCGAGCATTTTAAGCCATCGTGCCAGACTAAAGAAAGGCCTATAATATACGTTTATATGCACTCTACCTGATAGACTGGAGAGTACTTGTACGTGCAGCTGGTTGAGCATAGATGTGTCATCTCTATCAGCTTAGCTTTGATAGCGTCCTCTCTCATCCGAGCAAACATCAGAAACCTTTACAATATACGAGGTTTATCATCTGTCTTCTCTCTGACCGCCATCGCTCTTCTTCCTGTTCTGACAGCATCAAATTCCTCCCAAATTATCCCCCAAAACCTGATTTAAGAAAAAAAAAATAAACAACAACAAAACAAACATCTGAGGCAGAAATAGGTCACGCTCTCGCTAAATCAGGCTTTTGTTTTCTGTCTGTAAAACCGTGTTTAACTGTGTGTCGACAGGGTTCGGCAGTTTCAAGTTGCATCAAAGTATGTCATCATCTAAACACACGCTTAGCGAAATGTGAACTCACCTGATGCTTTCTAATTCAGAGAGGCTTGTTTCAGCTGCTATATGGAGAAAGCGATCCATGTTTGGAACACTGAGGCGTTTGATTGGCTCCAAAGATCAGCGGCTATCAGGAAGTTCTGCACCGACACAAATGCATCTGCTTCAGGTTTGTCCTCTCTGACATCTTGTGCAGTGGCGCTCTGCTCACAGCGCTCCTGCAACGCTCGGAAAACTACCTGGAAGCTGCATTTGACCATTAGCAGGAGCACATGTGCCGTTTCACCGTGGACCTCAGACTATCAAGGCCAAACTGACCCGACTGTCGGGTCTATGGCTACAACAAGGAGACCAAACTGCAGCCTGAGGTGGAAGAAGCTGCTGTTTCCCAGTCTGAAGAATGCATCAGGTCAGCAGCAGAACCAAGAGCATGCTTATTATGTTTCTCAACTGTCATGGTGTTGTGCACTGTGAGCTTCACCCCCATTGTCAGACTGTTAACGTCTTGTTCCACCGTAATGTTCTGACGGAGAACATTTGGCACAAACACCCCAAACCACTGGAAAAACATGAGGTTTTTGTGTCGTCTCTCCCCACCTGCCCAACTCTCCAGAAGTCTTCTTCCTCTTCCTCAAAATTAAATTCAACTTGAAGGATCACCGTTTTGACACGGTGGAGTTGATCCTTGGCGCTGACCAGGATCTCTGGGAGCAGCGTGGTGCTGCACAAAGACACGACTTCAAAGGGATCAGGTCTTCTGTTGCTTTTTTATAGCCGCAGTCTTGCAACTTGTTGATCCCACCGTGCACATTCTGCAGCGTGACAACAATCCTAACAAGCTGCAAGATCTATAAGGAACTATCTTCAAGAAGAACCTGCACCAGAACAGATGGTATGGCCCACACAGAACCTGGAGCTGGTCTGGGATTAACTCAAAGACACAGAAGACCTGTTAGCATCTCTTAAATGAGAACGTTGGTCAGAGTTTCTCCTCACTCAGCTTTCCTGCTCCGAGGACACTTCAGCATCATCACAAGGTGGGCGTGTGTGAAGTGTCGTGACGCTTTTTGAAGACTTCTGAATAAATCTTGGTGGATCTCGGCGGGTGATGCGTCGGCGCCTCGTCCACATGCACACAAACATGCGAGCGGCGTGCTGCCTGTACCCTACTGCGCCCCCAGTGTCGGCAAATACATCTGCTGAACTCCCCCTGCACTCCTGGCAGATGGCATTGTGTCTCCAAAACACAGAAGCACGCACACATGCATTAGCGCCCTCCCCGCGAGCTCCGACAGGGCCCACACAGG